TCATTCTTGTTGTGTAGCAATACTTTATTTTACTTTACTTTTTCAACCATTTTGTTCGACGATGATCGTGATCATCAACATCATCATCATCATCATCATCATCAAAAAACTTAAAGATTGGTCACTTTGTTTCCATCCGAGTGTATGTTTTGGTGTTAGCCAAGAAAAGATTTGTTGCGCTTATCGATTCTTCCTAAACATGATTAAACATAAATAATAAAAAAAATACAAGAGTGATGTGCAATATGCAAATTCTTGATTCCCATGCCCATATGGTCGTATCAATCATACATTTCGAAGAAATTAACTTTCCCATTTACAGACTAAACAAAATGTTACTGGATCATCAAATGAAAATGATTGACATTTTACATTTCATTCTCTTCTGTTTCTGGCTTGCCACAATGTTATGCACATCCAAATAAACACAATAATAATAATGATGATGATTGAATTTGATGATCAAAAACGATTTAGAATAAAAAAGAATGTCTTTTTTTACGATACAACCATGTATTTATGTTCATTTTTTTTCAAAGGTCTTATCTAGATTCAACTACTAACTGGCTTTTCTTTCTTTACTTTCCAAATGTTTCCAAAATTCCATCATCATCATCATCATCATCACAACCACTGCCATTAGTATTTGGGCAACAAAATCGATGGAATCTTGTTTATAGTGAGCATCAAAACAAACAAAATGAAAGAATCAATCAATGAATGCGAGGCACATTCTCTCGCTCTTCATAGAGTCAAAAAGAAAGAAATGAAGCTCCTCGGAAACGGCAACGGTCGGAATCATTGGGGAATTGTGAACAGAGAAAAAAAAATTAGGATTCAAACTTGCAACAGAAAAAAATATATTCTTAGGGTTCCAATAGCCAAACAAGCTATAATTTTTCAATGATCACCTTATTGCAAGGGATCGATGAATCATGAACGCAAGTGATTTTCTTTCTATCTATCTCTCTCTCTCTCTCTCTCTCACCACCAAGAGCGAAAAGAAGATCGATGCAAATTACAAACATCAATTTAATCGAGATCATTGGCAAAGTTTTTTTCCATTCAAACAACATTATTATTGTTTGGGCAAATGTTGGTAATCTCCATAATGATAACTGAATGAATCAATGAATGAAAGAGAAAACTTTCGTTCAGACACAGTAATGATAATCATCATCATCATCATCATCATGAGTCCCGGTAAATGTCTTGGATTCTCAAGTATTCCATATTGTTGTTGTTGTTGTTGTTTGTTCAACCTCCTTAGTATATGACCCAAACAAAATAGAACAAACACATCACATCCACAATTCAATTGAATTCAATTCAATTCAAGCATCATTCGAATTCTTCGTTTCGGTGAATGCTCAGGCTTCCACTTTTTAAGTTATTCTACCACTAATAATAATAATCATCATCATCATCATGACGATGAAAGAATTTGCTATTTCCTTCCCATTTTTTTAGCCCCCAAATCATGTTGAGATTTTGTTTTCTCTCAATCTCCTCAGTCTCTTCTTTGAAACGGAATTCAATCTATATAGTGAGTCTTTTTTTTTCGTTTTCAGTTTGGACCCATTATTCGCTAATTTTCTCAATCAACGAACTCAGGCCAACGAACACATTACACACACGAAAAGACAAACTTACATCACATTAGCTTGTCCGGTTAACATACACAAACACACACACAAATTAACTCAATATAAAATTAAAAGTGATTTTTGGAGAAAAAACAATCAAATTGAAAATAACTAACGAAATGATCCAAAGAAAGAATGAAAGGAAGAAAGAAAGAAAGAATTGGCACAATCAATGATTACTGTAAAAAAAATCGAACCTTCGTTCTTTGATGGCTTCATAAGGCACAATTCAAACAACAGGACTAACTGCTGTCAATTTATGGACGTAGCCCAACATCAAATATTAGCCCAACAACAACATCATCATCATGAATGAATGGAAAAAAAGGAAAAAAGTTTCACTTGAATTTGCTTGTGGCATTGAGATATTGAATTTAAGAAAAAAAGTGTCCGTACACACACACACACCAACCAATGAGATGTTCAATGTTTGACTATTTGGACTGAAAAAAAATCAACGATGATGATGATGATGATGCCGGGCGCATAAAAACTTCAGCTTCAGAATTTATTATCTCGTGAGCAATACTAGCGAATTATTTACCGAGCACCAACACTTTTATTCATTCATTGTTTTTCTTTTCCAACCATTTTTACGGGCCAATTCTTGTTCGCGTTGTTTCGTTTATCTTTGTCAAGTATATATTCTTCAATACTGCTACCATCATCACTATATTTACGGTGCAGGCAAACAAATAATGAACCAATTCAATGAATCTGTTGTCATGTGGGTGCAAAAGAATATGCAATTTTCCTGAATTGTGGAACTTTGGCTGGCAGCCCAAAATCTCATTTCTATTTCACAAACATCTTTTCACTTAGAGTTTCATTATCTTTTCTTTCTCATCTCTAAAGAGATCTACAATGAGATTGTAAAGAATAACAACATCCATAACTATTCTATTCTAAATCAATGGCCATTCCAGATTCCAAAATCATAATCCATTCCAATGCTAATGACTAAAACGACACAAAGAAGGTAACTGGCATTTCTCTACATAATGATTTTCTTGATCCAATGCCAATGATGTACAACATGCAAGATAACTAATCATCATCGTTGAACAACATGTGTGCGTGCATCCATTTCTTTTTATTTTGGTCTTTTCCAAAATCTTTGTTTGTTTCAAAATTTGATTTCTGTTCAAATGGTCTCGAATGTTTGCAATGTTTTTTTTGTGCATCTCTATATTCTATTTTTCAGTCGAACCAAGTTAGTCTATCGAATTGGTTGATGCAGAGATTTCATGTTCAAAAACAACTATCAAATACAATACAAACACGATGCAAAAAAAGCAATATAGTTAACATTACAACCATTTATAATACAAGAATGATTCGGCGGGCGAATCTAAAGAAACCAATGATATCAGACCAGACACACACACACACACGCATACCAGAACAGTATCCAAAAAAAAAAAAGAAGAATGATTCCAACAACATACATTTTTCCCTAGAAAAAGAGTGAGAGAGAGAGAGAGGGAGTCAAGTGCTAAATTGTTGTTGGATGATATAATCATAATCATCATCATCATTAGTGTTGATAATAACCGAATCAAGTAAATATCCAAACAAAATGTTGTATGCATGTTTGTTCATGGCAATTTCAATAAAAATTTTCATGAATCCCTAAACTTATGATGACGTGCATCTTTCAATACTATACAAACATACACATGGTAGATTCTAACAAGATGAATGACAAATATAAAAAAAAATAATAATAACAACACACACAATCGATTCCTGTTACACACACACACTATGTTTATTCAGGAGATGAAGATATGCAAACACAAACATACACACAATAAACATACCAACGAAAAAAAAAACATAGAATATTATTATAGTCATGGGCCAGGAGGGACCAAACAAAAAAAAAGTTAGAATCCTAGAACTACTGATAATAATAATAATAAATCATCCATATTCTTAACAATGGGCAAAAAAAAATAACACACATTCGACAAGAAAAAGGCCAGACCTTGTCCTTATTGGATCTGATTGACTGACTGACTGGCTGACTGAGCGAGATTGGCCACACACAAACACACATAAAATAATCTGAAAGGAGCTGTCTGTGAGTGTTAAAGAATTGTAAATGTGGCTTAAAAACAATGAACATCATGAAACAAACCAAAACAAAACAAAACGAAAAATCAAAACAATCACTATTCACAATAATGATAATAATCCATTCGATTGAAAATTTTCAACAACAAAAAAATCTCCATGCTTGATGAACAAAAAAAAAGAAATCCTGGAAATCATGGAAATCTAAAAAAAATAGCAAACGATGATGATTGAAAGGGAATTGTAGATTTGACCGGAAAGAAATTCAAACAACAAAAAGAACCGGAAAACGAGAAAAAAGAAATGTAATGAAAGAAATCAAATGAAATCGAAAAATATTCTTTGCTAACAATGATCATGATCATTATCCAAAAAAAAATGTTGAATGAATTGGAAACAACAAAATCCAAATGATCATTGCTTTTGAATCGAATTGATGAAATATTGGCCAAAGCCAAACAAACTAAACTTAATCAACTTGGACAATATAATATAGATTTGAATTGCATTCAATATCGAATTGAAACAAACGGAAACAAAATCAAAAGCAAATAAATCCAATATATATTATGATGATGTTAATGACAGAAAAAAAATATTCAAACAAACAATCATCAAAATAAAAATGACAAAAAAATTCTTTTCATCTAATCAACCAACAATCATTTCACGATTCGATGCACTTTTAAATGTCAAATTTTTTTTTTGCACACAAAATCAAAAACCAAATTTCAGGTAATTTTTTTCAAGATTCATTGATGATGATGCCTTAATTATTTTCGTTGTTGTTAAACACACACACACACATAGAAAGAGAAAAACACAACTGAACCATGAATTTTGTTATGCTAACAAATTTCATGGTCATTTTTTACTGGTTCGATTGTAACCAGATTTGTATTTGGTTTAAATGTTTGGATAACAGGAAAAAAAACATCTAAAATTGAAATCATCATTATTTTCGATTTTGAAAAGAAGGATGATTTTTTTCTTTTGTAAAAAAAAATATAGTCCAAACAGGAAAAATAATTTGTTCATTGATTTTTGTTTTTTTTAATAATTCAAATAATAATATTCAATCAAAATTATTGGATACAAGGATGGATGTAAGGATGGATGGATGGATGGATGGGAAAAGGGCAAACAAAAAAAAAGGAAAGCAAGCAAAAAATAATTATGTTCAAAAAAAAATTATTTTACAAATATATTTTCATTCCAAATAACTGGGATTTTGTAATTGGGAATTTATTTCAATCATATTATACATTGTATTGTTACATTTTGGTTTATGATTAACAATTTTGTCCGGTAGTATTCGAATCTACCACCAAACAATTTGAAACAGATTTTTTGAAAAACTGCTAAGCTTATCTTATTTTCTATAAAGGAGATATCACCATTCATGGTCATCAGAATTGAATATTTACAATTATTATTTTTGGGTAAGAGGAAAAAATTGAAAAAGGGGGAAAATCTACAATTATGTATTAGAGTATAAAACATTCTTTTTATTGCTATACGAATTGATGAGGCAAAAAGTGAGCAATTTTGTTCAGTTCAGTTTACTTGGTCAAATATGAACAGCAACAGCCGTTGTCGATGTTGCTGATGGTACAAATGGCATTGTTGATTGACCGGATATATCCGAACCGTTCGATGTGAGTATCAAACTTGAATCATTTGAATTTTGACTGGCCGATTGTTGTTGATTCAGATGATTCATATGATGATGACGACCTGATGTTGATGATGTTGATCCCTGATGAAAATGATGGCCAATATTGACTGTGGCCGATGTCGAAGTTGCTGGTAGTGATGGTGGTTGCTGTTGTTGATGATGTAGTGATGATGGCGGACCTGAAGCACCAGATCCGGATGATGATTCCATAGTTGTAACACTGGTCGATATACCAGAACCAGATCCATTAGAATGATTATGAAATAATCGTTGGTGCAATGGATGTGATGGTGGTAATGGGGGCGGTGTTGATTGGGATATACCATTCATCAATTGATTTGGTGGTAATGGTGGTGCAACATTTGGCGGAGGAATACCGGTCGGATGATAGGTAGGATAGGCATATGTTGATTGTTGACTATGAATCGATGATGGTGAATATAATGGATGAGCACATACCATCGATGATGGTTGATCCATCATCGGTGAATGACCATACGATAATTGTTGCCGACCTAATGTGGTAGTTGTCTGTGCGCTGCCCAACAATGGATGATGTAATTGTTGTGCACCAAGCAATTGATGATGATGTTGATAGCTATCTAAGTTGCGAAGATTACTGTTCATCATTTGTTGATTGTTGCTCACACTCAATGGCAATGTAGAATTCTTATTACAATTATTACTACTTAATTGTAAGGTTTTTCGACCATACAGTGAACTGGTCGTCGATGATGACGATGAATTTACTGTGGATCCACCGCCCGAACTAGCTGTTGGTATTTCAGGCATTGCATAGCGAAGTTTTTCCCAAAACATTTTCTCACCCCATTGAAGACATGTATTGCCAGTAGTTTTAAGCCAAACACGAATATCCGGATCCAAATCTTTACCGGCGACAGGTCCGACGAAAATGAGTATCAACTTATGTCGAGCACGGGAACGTAATGCTTCTTGATGAGCTGTTTTGAATTCAAAATGTTGCCATTCACCTCGAAGAAAATGTTCTGAAATGACAAGAATAGTACGCCGGCTAGCAGCCATAGCTTCGATGATTGCATCGGCAACAAAACCCGATGCAACAGGAAGATCACGATAATGTAAACACAAACGCATTGGTGTAGTTCCATATTCTAATTCCGGTGCAAGCATTTGTTGAACAAATTGTTCATCTTTTTTCGAATACGATACAAATGCGTCGAACAATTTTTCACCAGAATCAGCATCATAGGGATCTGAATGACGACCATGACGGCCACCGCGACCATGCCGGCCACGTCTTCCGTGACTACCTTTACCGTTGGAACCGCCACCTGAACCACCGGCCAGTCGAATACCGGTTCGTGCATAGAACCATACAGAAATCTCATGACGATAAAGAACGGCTGTTACGATTGAAGCAAGCAACAGCAATACGCCGAATGTTGAGAACACAATCAATGCCAATATCGGTAGAAACATTTCAATCTGATTAGCAGTTTCATTTGCATTCACCGAAATACTACCACCGTTGATGCCGACACTGGATGATGATGACGATGATGAAGATGCGGCGATCGATTCACGTTTTGTGTACAGTGAACATGCAGCTGAGATGTTGGCACGAGCCTGTTCGATTTCATTCATTTGATAAAGATTGGCCATAGTGGTGGCAGCGGCAACCGCTCCCAATGGAAGAGCATAAGTTTCATTATATTGACAATGGATATGAGCAATATCACGAATTATATCTTGACGCGAAGGCAACCATTCCATCATCTGACCAACAAATTGACAATCACAAGACCAGGCATTACCGCCCAGATATAGTTCCTGTAATGATGGTAACGCTGACAACATTGACCACAATTCAAATTCTACAATTCGATTATTGTCCAGTCGTAATGTTCTCAGTGATCGTAATGCAGAGAACGTTCGATTAGCGATCACCGAGATGATATTATTTTCGAGATATAGTTCTCGCAAATCGGTAAGACGTTCGAATTCGAAACCGTATAATGTATCCAATTGATTGTCGGCAAGATTTAACACCAATAATGATTTTAGACCATTAAATGTTCGATTATTGATGGTATGAATGTGTGATCCATTCAGATAAAGATGACGAAGATTTTTACGGCCAATAAATGTATGCGGACTTAGTTGGGCAATGTTGTTGCCATCAAGATATAGATCGGTAACATCCATCGGTATACGAGTAGGCACCAGAAAATGACCATTACGGCCACAATCCACAATGTTCGTATTCCAGGATTGATCATAGAAACAGGTACAATTGTCCGGACATGTCATTTCACAATCACAAGCATCAAATTCACAACAATGACACAATGCAAAACAATGCGAACGATATGAACATAAAAATTGAGATTGACGAGCTGCAGCTAATGTAGTCATCATTGGTTGTTGACCACGACCGAATGCAAGTCGACATTGAATCTGATGAGCATCAACTACACGCGGTAACTGTCTAGATGGATCTGTTCCTATCAATGATGATGGAAATGATGGTGGTGTCGATAATGCTGCTGCACGTTGTAACCATTCAATATTACAATCACAAACAAATGGATTGCCCGCAATCATAAATTCGGGCGATGGTCGTCGTGTAGGTGGCTTACTTAAACGCAATGCATTCAAATCTAATGTGGTCAATCGATTATCACTGAGATCGGCACGAGTAAGATTATCTTTCTTCAGGAACGTAAACGGTGCTATTTTACGAATAAGATTTCGATTGAGCATGACCAATTCGATCGAATCAGGTATCAATTTTGAATCGATTTCTACTAATCGATTATGCGATGCATCTAATGTTCGTAATTTTAATTCGGATTCGATTTCAAAATAATTGCCCAGATTTTCAATTAGATTATCATGTAGATCGAGCCATTGTAGACCGACCGGTATCATTGCATAATCGAACATTTGAATGCGATTTGCCGAAATGTTTAGCATGAGAAGATCACGAAGATTGACAAACAAACCGTTGATGTCGGCAACTTTGTTCGAATCCAAACGTAATGCATGTAAATCCGGAATGTTATCAAACGTTCCCTGTTCTACCGATTGAATTGAATTGTTGGCCAAATTGAGCACACGAAGTGAAGGTAGATCAAGGAAATCTGCACGACTTAGATTTCCAATCATATTACCCTCAAGATTAAGACTATATAGTTGTTCGAGGCCACGATATGAAGCGTTGTTGGAAATATCACGAATTTGATTATGCGATAAATCTAGCGATCGTAATGAATGTAATGTTTGTATAGCTTGCGGTACTGTTGACAAACGATTTCGGCCGACATTCAACTCCATAAGACCGGTAATGTTGGCAAAAGATGATGCATGAACAGTATGTAATCGATTATCGTCCAAGAATAAGGCGTTCAAAACTTCTAGACCGGTGAAACTGGCTGCATCCAATGTTTGTAGCCGATTTCCACTCAACGATAGTGTATGAAGATTACGATTACTGATGAAAGCATTTTCGGCTAATGATTCGATTATGTTATTCTTCAACGATAATGATTGCAATGTATACAGTGCTCGAAAGACAGTCGCATCTACACGCGATAGTTTATTATGCGATAGATCCAACGATAATAGGCGAGACATGTCGGCAAATGTTGTCGGTCCGATCCAATGAGATGTCACTTCATTATTGCTTAGATCAAGAACAGTCACTTGTGATAGACCGGAGAATAAACCTGGTGGTATGACCGATATGGAATTATTCTGCAGATATAGTTCCGATAATGTTGTTTTGACCGCTTGAAAGAAACGGGCCGGTAATGCAACCAATTGATTGTTGCTTAAATCCAGACGATTCAATTCGGCCAGACCAGCCAATGATGTTTCTTCGGCACGAGCAATCAGATTCTGTCGTAGATTGAGCACTTGAAGATAATGAAGACGAGAAAAACCTCGATCGGTCAACACTTTGATTCGATTGTGGCTAGCATCCAGATTCAATATGGAATCAAGCCGACGACAATCATTTTTCATCGAACCAGTTGTCACCGGAACCGATGATGTTGTTGCTTCATATGAAGATTTAGCGCTAAAACCTAATGATGCAACATCTTGAAATGAATTTGCCGAAATGTTGACATATTGCAAACGATTTAATGGACACAAAATCGAGGGTGGCAGCTGACTTAGGCCATTTTCACTCAGATCTAGTGATTCAAGATTGCGAATTGGTGAAAATATTGACGATGTTGTCGTTGATAAACGAAGACTTAGATCACCCCAATCAGTATTATAGGTACGAATGGTAAGATGACGTAGCTCTTGAAGACCAATGAAAACATCAGCCGGAAGCTCGCTTAATTTACAACGTTCTATATAAAGCTCACGTAATTGATGTAATGAACGAAATGCCCGTTCCGGTAATTGTGATTGAAATAGAAGATCTTCACATTGTAATCGTAATGCATGTGTACGATCACCCGGTATTAGACTTAGATTGACACCAGAATCGAGGGCACCATTCAATGTACGAAAATGGCACTGTAATAGCTGATTTATCGATGATAACGATGATGATGATGATGATGACGAAGATGATGAGGATGATGATGATGATGGTAAAGTGCCCATCGTAGTGGTGTGTGTGGAAGAATGAGCTTGTATCGAAAGATGACTTAGTGATGATGATGAATCATCCATTGACGAATGACTTGCGGAATGGCCAGTTGATGGCTGCTGCTGTTGATGATGATGTGATGATGTACGCAACGGGCGCCATTCACAACCGGCCGGTGTTACCGATTGATGATTATTGCTGTTGGCAATTAAAACACCACTCACAGTGGGCATAATCATTAGGATCGGTGGACATAAATTCATCACAATTATAATGATCAACAATATTGACAACAACCGTATTGGCCAATGAAACCTTGATGATTGTTGAGTATTATCATTTCTATTATCATGATAATCTTTGCTTATGGTCCTCATCATGGTCCACTTCGAAGTGGAATCATTTCTCAAAGAGATCACAGTGGGTATAATACACGAACGTGATGACAAACTTGATGAAAACGATTTCCTCATTCTCACTGAATTATTAATTTGGCATTTGGTTGAGCAATCAACATCATCAACAACATTATTCTTAGGCAGTAATGGCGAAGGATCCCTAAAAAAATGTTGTTGTCCATCAATTTGAAAAGGATCCGGTGGCCGGTGACGATTTGCTGACATTTTCATTTTCAGTTGAATTTTAGTGGTCATTTCTTTTGTTGAGAATATTTTCGATTTCATTGTTTTGAATAATTGAAAATAAACGATTTTTCGATATTCATGATGGTGTCGTTGACACTTGAAGCTAGAGAAAATATCGATCAATCGATTGACACATTTGAATGATATTTTATAAACGAAAAACGGAAAAAAGTGTTCTTTGCTATGTGAGCAAACATATGCCGAGTATATAACAGAAAAAATCGATATTTTTTTTTGTTTTTGAAACGGTGAGAATTGTTGAAACAGTGTGCAAAAATTGAATTATGATTCAATGTTTTTTATTCGTCCGGTAAACGGACATTCACTCATCACTTATACAAAACACATCGATTGATGAATTACAAATCAACCAAACAGGAAAAAAAAAATAAAAACGATTGTTGGTTGATGTGCAAAGGCAAATATGTGGTCGATGAACAAACGGTGAACGGCCAAACAAACAAACAAACAAAAAGATAAAGATATTGGCGCATCTATGACGGAATCATTCATTGAGAAAGTGATCGATTTTCAATCTTTTGCTTGTTTGTTTCATTGATAAAAATGTCAAGACAAACAATGATGATGATGATGATAATAATGTATTTTGGTAAGTAAATAAATAAATCAACCAACAATTCATCTAATCATAATTGATGGCATCGTCACCAGGATACTAAAATGATGATATTCCATTCCATTGTTTTTTGTTTACATTTGTTTTTGGTCACATCAATTTTTTTTTCAATGATGATGATGATGCTTGAAACGAAGAAAGAATATTATGTTTGTTTCGAATGAAAGGCAACATCGATCCAGCGAATAATAATAATAAGTAAACAAACATATGATGTGTGTTTTGAGAAAGAATCAAATGAAAACGTCAGCATAAAGAATTCTTCATCATTGTCATTGATGATTCGTCTTAATTAATAAATTTGTACATTCAATAATAATGATATGATATGATGATCATCAAATGAAATTGATTTGGATAATCTTGACGATGATGATGATGATGATGATTGATTTGTGACGGAAACCAAGTCTTTTTTCTTGTTATCGTTGATGTGTGTTACATTGGGTAAATGTCAAAACTTGATTTTGGATGAATAACAGAACAATCATTTGTCATTGTTTTGCCATCGATATTTTTATCTTCAATTAAACAAATTCCTATGTAACACGCGAAATATACAATTTTTATTCATTTATTTTAACGTTTAAAAATGGACATTCAATTCAAGTTATCAACTGAAGTTACAAACAAAACAAAAAAAATGATGCATTGTTGCTTTCAATCAAAGAAGCATTGAGGACAATAACAAAATGAAGACGACAAAAAAGAATGGTAGTTTGTCCAACGGGATGATATTTATGATGATGATGATGAATACAATACAAAAAATACATCAATCCCTTTTCCAACAAACAAGAGACAAGAGACAAAAACAAGACGTGACACACACAATAGATACTTCAAGAATTTAATGATGACCGAATTTTTGATGGTAACAACAACAACAAAAAAATCCAATCAGTATTAAATGTGACCCATTTTTATTATTAAATTTTTTTCAACAACAAAAAAAAAAAAATAAATAAATTCGATGATACATCCAACTTGTTTAAAAAAATTAATGGATGCGCGCACATTCACACACAAACACAGAAATACCGATAGAGAGAGAGATATAGTTAGTTTGACAATGGATCAACCAAGTGAGGGTCGTATTATTTCGTACAATAATAGCCAATCACACAAAGATTAAAAATATAAAATACACACACACACAAATAAGAAAGATAGAGATGGATTGATGATTGGCATTAGAGGATTTATCATTTTTTTTGAAGATAAATTTCTTTTCAAACAAATATCAGTGATGATGGTCAATTCATTGGCATTTCAACAAAATAAAAACATTTCATCAAACAAAAATCTTGGCGGCAATATTCCCTTGCAAACGGCTATCACCGACGGACGGTGAACAGTTTTTGAATGGTTCATTCATTCGTCTGGCTACTTTTGTTCTCGTTATTCAATTCAATTGGATAGTGTGTTCTCTTTGGATCCACAATGTGGAAGTGGTATTGATATCAGATACATTCCAATGTGTTATTTATCATTCATTCATACATCTGCCTCGTTATGATATTTTCAAATGAATGAATGTATCCTCGATTCGGATAGTGGTCTATAAATGAATTTGGAGAAACTTTGCAACAACAAAAAAAACGACATTCCATTCCCCAGACCAAATGAACAAAGTTAGAACGAAAAAAAAATCCTATCCAAATAGTAGTAGCATAGGATACACAGAATAAGTCTGTCATAGGAAAAAAATGTGCGCAAATCGATCTTGTATCCAAATAAAATGGATGCGCAAATCGAATTGTATAAAGAGAAATTTTTTCCCTTTTCGTATTGGGAATTCAAATAAAAAAAGAGAGAATTGAATCTTTCGAAAAATTTTCATCTTTTGTTGTTATTGCTGTTGTTGAACATGCACTTGAATCGATTTATTTTTATTATTTTCAACATCCATGATTTTTTTTTTTGGCCAAGTGTCGATATCATGAAACGGATAAGGAAAGTTGAACATGAAAATTCAAAACAAACAACATTATCATCAATCATTGAAATTATGTTTCCTCGAATTCAACTACTACAATACTAGACACACTTTTTACAATCTTTGTTAAAATATCTAGATTGACCCATGATGATGGGTGTGTGGAAGGAAAAAAAAATATTTAAAAAAAAATTTGCCACGATAAAAAAGCTAATTTCAATAATGAATGAAAAGAGAAAATGAGACCTTATACCACACTGTGTTCGATATACACTCGATAGTCGATCGGTTTGCGTGCATGCATCTATCCATCTATTTCGATTCGAGTAATGATCCAGATGACGTTCAGCATAGGCATTCGGGCACTTGTATAATATTCGGTAATAATAATCTTTGTCCAAAAAAAAATAGCAAAATGTATCAACTTGACCGATAAACAAAAAGTTCACTGCTCCCTCCCCAGTCTCTATATCGGAAAGAATTCAATCGTTTCGAACAACAACATCATCATCATCATCATTATTGTTATTATTTTTATAGACAGCTTCTGTGGTTTTGAAACACCACCACCACCACCACCATGACGGTATCAACCATAAATAACGTTATTTATTATTTATAATTCTATAACCATCACATTCTCATTCATAAATAGAAAATGATTGGGTTGACTTTTGTTTTTTCGATCGGGTCATAATCTAATTGATTTAATTGTTGTTATACAATCCAAATTCTAAATGAATTGAATTATTGATTTGAAATTATTACAAATCAAATCAGTCAGGGTCAGTCATCAATATCATCGGCATCATGATTCAATGTTTACAATATTCATTATATATTCCGGATATTCAATTTTATTACATTATCATAATAATCGTAACCGGAATTCAATGTCGGAAATTGGCATACATTTCTGACAAATTAATCCCCATTAACCTAACCGATTCTATTACTGTTGCAAAAAAAACTGCAACTATAACATGTTATGACATGATAATAATAATAATAAAAAATTCTTTCCAACCTTCCTATACGACAAAAGGCAAATAATAATAATTTCATTATTCAATCCATTCTATTAGTTTGTTTTTTGTTTTGGAGCAAACAAAACAAAACAAAAAAAAAATTCAATTCTAAAAATGAATAACATTCAATAACAAAAACAAAAACATCCATAGAAAATGGACTACCCGGTTATGTCATTATGGTTCAAGCATTATTTCTTTTTCATTCGATTTGGCTCCATCATCATCATCATCATTGGTTCTATTAATGAATGGAACCAAAAAAAACCAAAACCAAAATAAAATAACTGAATCAAATTCAATTTGCCTTGCATTCACTGGTTTCAATGAAATCATCATCATCATCACCATAATCACCATCATCATCAAAGCCATTTTCTTTCATTGCCCAGAAACATTATTCGACAATTGCACTAAGAACTATTTCATTTGATTCTTTTATGTGATGTGTTGTGATTTGATTTGATTTGATTCGCCATTCATTCTATCGCCGCCTTTTGTCATTATCAATGTCAGCCATTCAGTCAGTCAGTCATTCAGAATCGAATAATAAATAAATGTGAAACACCAAAATTGAAACTAATGAACAAACTGTGAATCAAGAAAGAATAACATTTTCATTTTCAATTCAATAACATTAAACATGTGCATCATCAAAAACCGAAACAAACAAAAAAAAAATAAGTATCCACACAAATGGACATTGTCAAATGATAATAACAAAAACAAAAAAAATATATTTGATATCCTCATTTGCCCATTACACAGTAGTCAGGTAATCAATTGTAAATGGACAGGAAAAACAAAAACAAAAACGGTTTCCATTTCATAACAAAAAAACAAAACAAAAAAAAAATCTTCACTAAATCAAATCAAATCAATCAACCACAATATGATTATCCCGAGAGAGTAGTTATATGATGCTGAATCTGTGGTTTTTTTTCACTCACATTTTCAGTTCTTGTTATGCATGAATGTCCAAACCAAAACCAAAACCAAAACAAAAAAAAACAAAAAATCATCTGCCATTTCGATATGATCATAGTCTGTTTTTTGGTTTTGGTTTTGGAGATTGTTTTCATTACGTCTCTCGGGGCATTAAATCTCTTACTTTTTCACTCTCTCTCTTTCTCAATCTCTCCTTTTTCATTGATTTTTGGATCGAACCATTATCCTCATCATCATCATCATTTGCAACAACAACAATAGCTATTGCGATTAGATTATATAACCCTAGATTTTATTGTAAAGTCATCAAGTATTCATTCCATTTATTTGTGGCGCATCTCGCATTACAGATCATGCGAGAGAGGGAGGGAGGTAGGTAGGTGTTGTTTGTTGAACTTCACAAAAAAAAAAATGAAAAAAATGTATCTTTCAGTACGCTAAACATTTTTTTAATATTGAACATATGGATACAGTTTCAGATTACTGTTGTTGTTTGTTGGAGATAAAGTTTTTTTTTTGCTCTGTG